TGCACCCCAGAAGACTTGCAGGCTGTTGCTGAAACATACTGGCAAAAACAAGGGGAGCGACTAGGGCAGCGGCTAACGTGAGCGAGCGAGCGAGTGTGTGAAACAGTCAAACAGAGTAAAAATGCTGATGCCATAAAGGGGGCCCTCCCGCAGGAGAGTGCGTGTGCACGCGCGTGCGCAGTGTGCTGCGTTACAATGCTGATCACCTTTCGGGGCAGCAAACACGGAGGTCATCTGGCTGGTCGGGGTCTCCCGCGCCGGTGGGAACCGCACCGGCGATCCAGCGCACCTGTAACCCTTACGCCTGGGGGCAGCAAGCGGCCGGGTCTGCCGGCTGGACCTGCGCAGCGTGGCGTGCCCTGACGCAGAGGTCCGTCTGCTGCTGTATCATCCTGGGGCGGGGGGGGTCCCAACATCGGCAGGGACATGAGATTTAATTGCTCATCTTGTTTTCCGCTCCTGTCTTTGAGTATTCTGATTAAACATTGTATTTTACTCAAAGCTATGAGCTCCAGAGAGAGCTCGCCCCTGCCCAGCACGCAGCAGAGAGCGGGGCTGGCGCAGCAGCACTGCTGTGCACGTTTTGAGGAGGCAGCAGCGCTGGCCTTGGCAGAGGAGGACGGTGAAGGGAGAAAGGTGGGAGCAGGGAAGGGACAGGCAGGGAGCTTGCAGCGGCGGTTTGCCAGCGGGTATTTTCTGCAGAGCAACGCTAGCAGAAGCCATGTGCTGCCTGAAAACGGACTTCCTCTGCCGAAGCCCCCCACGTCCTGGTCACTGTCAGGTCATGCATAGCCCAGGCAATCTCCCAGCACAGTGCTGAAACCCAAGAAAGCCTGGATAATCTCCAAGAGGCGCACAAAATTCCCATATCGAGCAAGCCTCCCTCTCTCTCTGCTAAATCCCAGGAGGGTTTGCATTCATGGGAGGATCTGGGTGCTTTTATAAGGGGCCCCATTCCTCCCGCAGGAGCCCCCAGCCAGTCAGCACAGCTGAGACCATATTAGGGATGCCATTCACCAAACCTAGACTGCATGCCCCCGTCCTGTCCTCGTCCCCGTCCCTGTCCCTGCAGGAAGGCTCTCTGCGAGGTCCCCCCGCTCCTCTGACTTAAAGAAGTAGCTGAAGGCAGCAGCTCGCTGATAAGACGCGGGGAGGACCGGGCGCGCTAATCCTCTGGGCTGGCACGCTTCCCAGATGGGTAAAAGCAAGGATCATTTGAGTTGGGCTTGCTCCTTCGCCCTTCGATTGCAAACTTTGTGAAGGTTTTTCAAGCATTAAATTACTTTCCGTGACTCGCACATTGTTACCCAACAGTTTACTGCTGGGGAAACTGAGGCCCGTCACGGGCGGGCTGGTGTTAGATTCAGGGTTAGCGCTGGGTGCCAGCGCAGGCAGGTGCCCGGTTTGCCCCTGGGGGGACGGTAGGGCATGCAGGCTCCTCTCCAGAGATTAGAGCGATGCTACAGAGGTGCTTAGACCACATCTGCGCTGTGAGGCACTGGCCCTTCTCCAACAGCCCTCTGAATTTCTGCAAAACGTAGGGTTTCTGGCAAAGGAGCGAAACTCCTGTCTAGGTCTGAGCAAACGAGGGTAACTGTTTTCCTGAATTTGCAGCTGGTCATTTTGGAAAAAGCTGCGCTACGCGAGAGGAGCCCCTTCTGTTCGGACCACCCCGCTGGCCCAGGGGTGACAGTACGAGCGCGGCGCTCCCGGTGCTGGCGAGTCCAGCAGGGCTCCCCGGGCGCCGTGAGGTGCTGAGCAGGCTGCAGCCCCCGGCGCGTCCTTTCCTCCTCTGAGGTTTCCACACCGCCGGGGCTGGCTGGCTCCCAGAGGCGGGTCAACCCCCACCCCCCCCCAACCAATCTACCCCATCGCTGCATCTCCGAAGGAGAGAAAGAGATGCGGGAACGAGCTAGAGAGGCGCAAGGTCCTGGACAGAGAGGTAGGGCAGAGGCGCGGGAACGCACAGAGATGCTTTCCTGGAGCGGGGTCTTTGTGATTACAGCCAGGCAATGCAGCAGAGGGGACAGCTGCCGAGCCTGCCCGGGCTAAGTCAGCTGCAACGAAAACACATCTCGTTCAGTAGGGGAGAAAGGCGAGCGGGCAAGCCCGCCCGCGTCGCAGAAAGAGTACGCGTGTGTAGCTGAGGCCGGGCTCCCCTGCGCTGTCCGGGCAGGGCTACCACACCCCAACGCTGATTTCTCGTCGTAGCTGCAGGGGGGGCAGCCGCCAGGCGAGCTTACCCAGGCCCGCCGGCCAGCATGCTTCGCCTCTGACCGCCAAGGTCCATTTTAAGAGTCGGGGCAGGGCCGTTACCCGGCCAAGCCCTTGGAGGCAGGTCGGCCGGGGAGAGGGAAACGGCTGCCGGGAGCTAAGGCGGCCATCACCTTTCGGAGGGCATCAGTCATTTCCAGCCGGCGCCTGAGGCGGAAGGGCTCCATATCCTGAGCTCTCCCATCCTCCGCACAGCTAATTCCTACCAAAGCAGTGGTATGCACTTTAGGAGTGTTTGACTTGGGGTTTAATTCACCGATACCTGGCTCTGCAAGGCGGGGGCGGTCAGAGGGCCTCTTGGCCTGCGCAACCCTTGGTGGGGAAAGCCAGCCGGGCAGCCTGCCCGGCCGGAGCGCCAGGGAGCGGGGCAGGCGCGGGAGGACGGGCCCGCGGGGCTCTGTGGTGGGGAAAGTGCCCGGCAAACGTGGCGTGGGAGGGTGCAATCTCGTTGGCCCGGGCTGCCCGGTGAGGGCAAAGGAGGGCGAGCAGAGCAGCGAGTCTCTCCTGCCTTCTGCAGCCTCTCTCCTGGCTGGCAGGTAAACTTGGGTTGCATCGGGCTGAGCAGACAGGAGGAGAAAAGATAAGGTGAGTTTTGTGGCCACTTTTGTTCCTCCTGCCAACGTGCTGCTCAGGCCAGTACCTGGAAACCACCCCGTCACTGGTGGCCGAAGGATGCGTTCCCTCCCGGGGGCTCCCGAGACCTGTCGGCAGTGGTGGGCAGCTGTTAAGGAGCAGGAGCCAGGAAGAAAAGAAAGGGAAAAAAAGACCTGATGCTAGTAAATAGGAGGGGGGGAAAAAAAAAAAAGGGAGGCAAGCCCGCTCGTAAGTGCCCAGAGCTTGTGAAAAGGGTTGGAGCTCCAACCGCGTGGCGGTTCGCCTGTGGCGGTGACCACCTCTGTGGAAGTACGAGCTGCTCTTTTCAAAAGGCAGAGGAAGAGGAGGACTATGTGAAAGCCCATGTGAGCTGTCACTGTCTCAGACTGTCCATATTCCCTCCTCCCGCCGTGCGAAGGAATATGGCTTTGTATTAACGAACCTGCAGGAGAAATCACAGCCCTGTGGAGCCCGCAGCCGCAGCGCGCCGCTCGAGGGGCTCCTCGCTCTGCGTCCTCCTCTTGGAGGGGCAGACGGAAAGCGTAGGCCGTACTAACGAGACACGGAGGAACTGCTGAGGTTGCCGTGAACTGCGCTGATTTAGGTGTTTAGAGACGCAACCGTTACCACACCTTTGAGCATGCAGTTTTCTTGTAAACCCTTTTTGAGACAGGTGCTTTTTTCTCCCCATACTGCAGGAAGATAGCTTGGTGGGCTAGTGAAAGATGTCCAAAAGCTGCTGTCTAATAGACCAGCCAGGATCCCTGCTGGGACCCTGTGGCGGGCCTGTAGACAGGCATCCGGGATTTTTTCAGCTTCTGGGATTAGTCGTGCTGAGCTAGAGAGAAATTTTTTGTCAATTATAAGAGTTTTTTACAGATAAGTGATTTTACACATATAACAGACGTTAGACAACAGCAAGCAATCTGCAAACTACAAGTATAATAAACCTACAAATATAACAAAGCTAAAAAGCATACATATATAACAAAGCCCTGTGGTTAAACCACACATGCATGGTACAACAACCATTTTCGGCTTTTCCTTGTCCTTATGGGGTCACGGTTTTCCCTGGGTTGCTCTCACCACGCTCGAGCTGCGCCAGGACGGTTCGTGTCCTCCCTGGCAGCCGGCATCAGGGGCGTCCCCGCTGATGGGTGGGTTTGGGGGTCCACAGGCCAGCTGACAGTGAGCCTGAGTCCGCCCAGAGCTGTGGCTTACTTTCTTTTATCCTTCCTTTTCCTCCAGGTTTTGTTCATTATCCAGTGAAACAAGGCCAGACCACGGTTGCACAGCAGCTGTATGGGCTCAGCGGATAACAGTACGCGTATCAGCAGGCAGCCCAGTGCCCAGTGGATAACAGCAGGCGTATAACCAGATAACCCAGTTCTGGGTCTTACCAGCTGGAGCACTTTTGCAGCAAAGTGCGCTACTGCTG